GTTATTCTTGTTTCTTTTCTTTTTCCTCCAACAACTGCTGTAATCTCTCTTCTTGTTTCTTTTCTTTTTTCTTTTCTCGTTCTTCCTGTTTGTTTTGATGTTCTTATATTGCTACCATCAAATCTGCTAAGTCGTAGTTTGATTTGCCACTTCTTGTTTCCATCTTTTTTCCAGCCCACTTCTGACACCAATTTGTTGTGTATCTGCTTGTTTGTTAATTTCCGGTATAAATGCTTTCCGAGGAACTTCAGCGAAACAAGTCACTTTTTGATTTAACCAGTTTATTGTTTCTCGATACAAACTTTTAATACACAGAAATTTCACAGTCTTGATAACTTTTCTCTCTACGAGTACAAACACACACTTTATATTACCGTCACTACTGTTCGCTTCTTTAATTATCTATCTCTATAGCTGGCTTTCTTTGCCAGGCTTATATACTAAAAAAGAGAACGTCTAGCAAACACTCGGACATTCGCGGGATTCCCCGATAATTCGAGAAACTCCAACGCGCATGCTCCCAGAGTCACGTGACTTCCGCTATCGTAACAATTTGAAAGTGTGAGAATGGGTGCACCAAAAAGTGAGTGCTATTGTTCTATTTGGTGCACTTATAGCTATGGTAACTGTTTGTTACACAGTTAGAAGCGTTCAACAATGTCAATCAGTTAGCGAGGTTGAGAAAGTTGTGGTTTTGTGATATTTTTTTGTATCTGCTCTACTGACTTTCTCAATTGGTTCTATAACCTGTACTTTTCTATATGGTTTTTATCACTTAAGGGTGTCTGTCAAATACTTTTTAAGATTTATTATTTGGTTGTTAAATGTGTATATGAGTAAATAGTTTATATTGCATATATTGTGTATCTGCCCATTCCTACTACAGTGTATAAGTACTATCGTATTTATAAGAACGTCATAAAAACCCTACTTTTGTGGAGTGTTTTGTGCAAAATTGTAACTAGTCTTAATTACCCTGCATCAGACACAATTTTTCAATTACAGCTGTAGATCAAAAGACCATATTTAGAACGGTAATTAAACTCCCAAACTTTTATTTTAATCAAAATAACAGCCAGCGGTAAGAAATAGAATTAGCTAGATTTTTCAATGGATTCGCTAGATTTGTCGCTAGGGCCCTTATTCTGGGCTATTTTTTACAAAAGTTCGCTAGATTTAGCAATAAATTCGTTAGATTGGCAAGGATGACGTCTGATTGTTTAACATAATTTCCGGTAGTGTATTTGTACAACTCATATAATCTGATGATGGCGGTCGATTATTTGTTATTTCAACTATAATAGTTGTCTATACTTATTAAGCCACTAAAACATTAATTTCAAAGAAATATTTGCCTGTATATTTTAAAGTACAGAAAACGTTTAAAAAAGTTTTTAATAACTTGCAGGGTACTAGTATTTATTTCGAAGAAGCAGAGTATCTGAAAATGATAAATATATATATTATATGTATCCATAAAATAAAGCATTCATCCAAGTGAATTACAAAATAAAAGTACTATTTCAAAAAATAGAAAAAGTAAAGAAGAAACTAAAATATTCACTGAAAAATTTTCCAGAAGTAGAAAAATTATTTTCAATTAAACATATCTGAATATTTGGCTACGAGCTAACACGATATGTTGTTGGCCATTACATCGAGCAGGGATTTTAACACAAGGCCCAGACTTTTATATCGCGTTATCGTTCCAACATAGTCTTTAATGTGAGCTGAAAGAGCAGATGTGATTTTAGTTTAAAAAAACACAACAGAGACAGTCACGGTTTATTTTATGAAATGTTTCAAACGACTTCTCAATTTTTAAAAATGTTCGCCAGATTTTTTTTTTAATCTAAAAGCATATTTTAACAACTATTATTTGATTACATTTCATGGAACAAAAGCTCGAAAATACGATTTTTTTCCACATTGGTTTGTTCGTTTGTAGTTCAACACAAGAATATACAATGTGTTAACTATGCTATACTCACCAGTGGTATCAAAACACAGTATTTGGCGCAGATTTAGCGATGTGCCACTACGGGTTGTTCACACTAACCTAGTTCTCTAAACAAGTGTTTGTTGTAAACGTTACTAAAATACAATGTATTATTTTGCAGAGCTCTTTATGGATAGGAGATTGCAAATGATCATGCATATTTTATCTATAACAATAGATAAATAAACACTTGTCATTTGTTATCACCGAATGCTTATGTAAAAAACTAGTGTGGTAAAATAATCCAAGTTACAACGAAAACAATAGAATGTTTTTTGGTGTTTTTTTTTTTTTACGACGCTAAACGACAAAAGCTGTCGAAATAATGGAACAAATAGGATTAACATTCATGATAAAAATCCTTTGAGATTGTATATGTTCTTTTTTTCTACACATTCCGAACCACGAACACAGAGAGGCAAAAAATACAAGCACACACATTAAAAAATTTCAAACCATATAAGTAAAATAATGAATGAAATTTGATTTCTTTAAGTGTTATTTTTACTTATTTGTATATTTTTGTCTCAGTGTGGTCAGTGGTTAGGATTTGGGGACAGTGCATCGCTACCGCGTGTGCGCACTGACAATCGTGCTGTGACGGGACTCCAAAATTGCAGGGAGGAGAGTCTTTGATTTGGCCGTTGGTAAGCTTCTCTAAAAGTTACATTTTTAAGTAAGATATTTAATAGTAATTAATGGCATTACTAAAGTGTTTCTGGGTAAATAAAGCAATTAAACTGTAGTTTCTAATATATTGTCTCTCTGATAATGAAGATGAAGACGGTTATCAAAACACAAAACATTTTATTTTCAAAGTTTTAATTTCCGGAATACACTTATTCCATCTTCAGCGAAATCTGATAATCGTGTTATAATTTCATATCGGAAAAACTGAAAGAAAAATAAACCTTAGACCCTCACATGTTTTTGAACATTTCAAAGAAACAAAACATATTATCACTGAGAACAATGTCGAAATCATCTGATGAGAACCAGACATCAACCGAAGAAAATATAGCTGAAATACTACTGATAAAGCCATCAAAGCCAACGCTAAATAAATATCCAGCCACCTGTTTATCTATTTAAATGATACGCTTGCGTTTGTCTGTCCGGAACATTTCTCGCAAATTTCTCGATCAAACGCTACAAATTTCATATCGTTAGAAAGACCTGTGTTCGAGGAGTTCGGATTATATATTGGCTTTTCACTTCAAAATCATCTTACCTGTTTTTTACTTAGTCAAATTTTTCAGTGTAACAAGTATAGTACACGATAGTACAATGTCGTTGTCATCACGTGACGACATGCTTCGATTTCAATTGTAATTTTTTATTTGCAAAGTATTTCACACAAACCGTGTAATTTCCTTTCAAAATGAACATTGCTCTAAATACAATTCCTATGAACTTTATCGACTTACTTAGGTCTAAAATACGCATGCGCAGTTCGTTCAAAACCATATGCTTATCACTTTGTGAACACGCATCCAGACATTTCTGAATATTCAGCTGTTTGCCTTCATTACAACTTTACATTTACTTTACTTTGCAATAATTTAGCTTTTCGTTTAATGGACTGCTATAAATACATTTTAGCTAATGTTTTTTTTAATACGGGTTTTCCTTTTTGTCAGTTAATTTGTTTGAACTCGTAAAATCGTATTATAAACTGAATGCTCATAACTGTTTCATACTCTGTACACTATTATAAGTACCATTACTTTACTTTAATCTTACTTTACGTGTACTTTATTAAATGAAATTACGTTTATGTGAGTTTGTTTGTTTGACCGAGTTAAATTTTTCCAAACAGACCCGGATTTATCGATTTAACACATAATGCTTGCAAGAAAACGTAGCTAAAATGGCGTGCGTGAAAATGATAAAATAAGAAAAATTCAAGCAAAGGGTATGAAAATGTTTTGCGAGTCGCGGCTAGTCTATATTTTATTCACTTTAATTTTCTAAAAAAAATAATTTAATGCCACCTGCAAACTTATCGTCACCATCACGTATCTGTAAGTTCTTTCGAATTTAACTCTCTTTTTGAATGTAGCTCTTACCCGATGATGACTCGATATTATGGGTCGGAAAGTTGAAATTATTAAAATAAAAACTTGCCTACTGTAAAAGTTGATTTTATTGTATTTTGAATTGATTGTTCAATTGGTTCCTCTTTAAACATTAAACTAGTAATAAGTTTTGTCTGCCGCGTGTAATCGAACATAAGATTTTAACATTGAAAGTCCATACACTTATTGCTCATCCACCAGATGACCTGGGCAGCTACCTGTGGCTGGCAGATTTTATTCTTTGTTTATTTCTGTTGTTAAAGTTATTGTTACTACAAACGGCTGGATATGTTACACGTCAATTTTTTCAAAACTTTATTTACCTCATTGTATCAAATTAAATATAAATTATATTTTTCATTTTTTCCTCCAATAATTTCTTGCTTATTTCATCCAATTTTATCACATTCTTTACTTCAGTCATTATTTTTCCATGTTGCTTTGTGACGTTATCTATTCTTAGATTTACAAATATTGTTCACTTAACTACCAGTAACATTAAAACGAGAGAGAGAGAGAATTAGTGAAAATTAGCTCTAAATAAGTTCTTAATCTGAGTATAAAAACTGAATAAATGGCTAAATTACCGATGTCATTTAGCGTAGAATAGAACATGTAATATGCAACAAATTATCCGGAAGAAAATATAATTAAAAGTGTTTTCGTAGTCAAATCCTTATTACATAACGGTGTGTCTTTTATTCTTTTATCTTAAATTTTGCAGGATCGTAAGTAGTTTTTATTGAGTTACTTAATGAGTTGGACGTAAAAACTTCTATCAAGTGTAGGAGAAATAGAAAAAACGGTTTCCTGACCAACTCACTCCGACTTTCTTCTGTAAAGAACTTAGGTGGCAGCACAAGTCATGCAATTGCCTTGAGTGGAGTAACATTTTAATCCTCTAGAGGACAGCACAGTAGCTACATATGACGTTTTCCTCTCAGAGTAGATTTGATAGAAATACTTACTAAATACTGACTTATAGTTATACTCGTATTGAATTATATGAAAGTTTATGGTACGATGGCGGCAATGAGCAGAGGAATTGTTGAAATGGAAACACCGTCGCTATTATCCAGTAATCAAGAGGATCGTATTAAACTTCTATATCCAATGGTAAATGAAGATGAAACTCCTTTACCAAGGCATTGGAGCTCTAAAGATAAATACGCATTCATAGGACTTTCACAGAACAACTTAAGAGTTCACTACAAAGGCAAGTGAAAAAATTAAAATTGTTTAAGCCTATCGTGGAAAAACAGAAATGAGTACTATTACTTGAATTAGTGGATTACGTCTCCTAAGAAAACTTAAGCCTAACATTAATTGTGTTGAATTAACTGCATAGTCATGTCTAATTCATAATAATTGCGAATCATAATTTAAGGAATATAAACAGTTTTTTTCTCATCTTTCTGATTTTTTTTATCAAATGTTACGCAAGATGGTTTAGCAATAGCAGTCACTCATATTCATAATATTTATGAATTTTTTGGTTAATTAATTGAATAATTTCGTGTCTAGTACAGTATTAAATCATAAAATTTATGATAAATGATAAAATTAAAGCTTCAATAATTTTGGGATACAGATGTTGCTAATGTTAATCTTTTAAAACTAAATTGATTTAAGTTTAATTTGCTAAACAAATGTACAAGTTCTGAATGCATACCATATATATTATACATATACTATAGTATGCTAACGTTGCTAGTCTTGATGTTTATGTTTACAAAATTTAAAACAATATGTTTTCAACAGAAATTTTCAAAAGAATGTCTATCCCATGAAAAATATTATTTGAAGGAAAATACCATGACTGTTGGTTTTTGAAATATTTTACAAATTGTTATGGTTATATGATAAAACTTGTGCTGCTTTTAATACTCCATTTACAGTAATAACTACATGTTTAATCATGATCTGCTGTAATATGCATGTTATAAGTTAAAGGTCATTTAACACATACATGTACTTAGACCTTGGTAGCTTCTTTGTAAACTAGATTTTATGTAATTTAGTTTATTACTGAAATGTTTTTTATTATTATTTTTGTCAGGGTTTATTAGTAAGTTTTCAGTATTAATAATATGATATATTTTCAAGATGAAATAAAATTCCCACATAGACTTTCCTTTTTTTTTCAGTTGTGGAATTATTAATATTTTCTTGAAATATAACCATCATATATAAAATAGTTGCTTTTGTTTTATTTGTGCAATACTAAACATTTTCATTTATACAAACTGTTTAAAACATATTGACATTTTTAGTTGATGGTATATCTATAAATAGGAGGTACATGAGTATGTAGTTTACTACTTTTTCTCTCTATTTCTTGTTATATAATTCTTTTAGAGGAAAGTGCTATTTTAATCTCAGAAAAGTATTTGAGGATATGCAAGGTAATGTTTGAAACTCTGTATATCTGCTGCATTTTAAGGCATTCTCATATAGTTAGCCCTTTGTTTATGTTTGCATAGCTAGACTATGAAAAATAACTGACACAACCAGATTAGTTAACCTTCACATGTCTAATCCTCCAAAATAGGTTTTAGGTCACAGTTATGAGATTGAAACCTGATCTGTACAATTGCCTCTGTTAATATCTTCATCATTAGTGATGTTAAAGCATGCCAATCTTATCAAAGTCACTTAATCTTTATGTAAAGAAATTACTTTTACTTGTGTCCAAATATGATTGCTAAGTCTGGTTCATTTAGTTTTGTGTGAAGGTTTCATTAAAAAACATCAAATATAATAATATGAGGAATATTAGTGCTCAAATGCTCATGAACAATTCATCTCTAGCCATATTTTCTTTATTACTAAGACTAATATCTAAAGTGGAATATCTTTCATAACTTACTACAGCCTTAAGTAATTTATTCATTATTCTGTGAAGAAGACAGATTAACTCAGTCAGCATCCTCAGAATTAGTGGCCTATAATAAGAAGTCTGCTTCTGTTGGCAGCACAATTAATCTGTCTCCACATTAATGTCAGTGACCTGAGCTGGGAACCTGTAGTGAATGGTAATAAGCACCCTTATTTTTCCTTTAGGTACATCAATCTAAAACACACACACTGCATGCTTGCAAACCTCAGCATAACCAGTAAGTTCAATATGGATGAACAAAAACTGCCACTGTTTTATTAATATGATTTCTATAAGGTATCAAGTCTGAGTAATACGAATGACATCTAATGTGCTTTGTTATAACCAAAGCTTTTAAATTCAAGCAACATTTAGTACTTGTATGAAATAAACTAAGCTTTATTTTCAACTTCCATATTAAGATACTTAGCTAATCTATTTGATTCATGTTTCCCAAAATCCATGACATGGTCCCTGAAGGTCAAAGTTTTTCCTTCGCCTTTATTTAAACTCTGTTTAAACAATTCCTAATATAGTAATTTAGTGCTTCTCCAAACATTATTTTCCAGTTTGCCTAAATGGAGTCCATCACTCCCCCTATGTTTAGACCTGTCCTACAAACCTAACCAGATCACCTATTGATACGGATCTGCCCTCAAGTAGTTTGTGAGTTAATCCTTCTACCTTTCTCAAACTTTCTCAGCATCACTTAACACATCTTTCAAAACTGACTTAGGCTTGCTTCTTTAGCCATAGTCATCCTTCCATTGGGCACCATACAGGTAGTAAACTCAGCATTTTCCTGGTCTTCCCTCATAATAATAGTAACTTTAACTGTAAAGTTTTTTCCCCTATTTCTTAACTTTTATGCCCAACGTGCATCTTTTACTTTCTGATCCAATAACTCTCTCCAGAGTAACTCCAGCTTCACCTCCAAGTAGAAAATTCTACAAACAAAAAATAATAAAATTCACCAATTCTCTCTTACCTTTTTGAAAACCACAGGATTGTATTGTTTTCAGAAATAAACCCCATTTGCTCCTTCACTGCTCTTATCCATACTAACCAAGAAAGTAAAAATATTACAACTTCAGAACTAAGTATGAACTGAAAGGAAAGCCCTGAAAGTAGATGAATGATAAAAACATATTAAAATAGTTAACCTACACTACATCAACACTTTAATTACAGTAATTTACATTAAACCCCAAATAGTAACTTACAAAATCTAGACAAAACTATATATGTTATAAAGACAGTAAGTAACATTTGGCTTAACTCTGAGCTTAAACCTTGTCTTAAAATTCACTATTTTAAGCTGAGTTTGAATGAAAAGTTAAGTAAAAAGACAAAAAACTATAATACAAATCAAGATAAGTGAAACAAATCGAGGTTGTAAAATTACAGAACTGGAAAGATTTTTCTGATCTCAAAATTTCCTAGGGAGTGGACAGTGAAACTTTGTTCTTGATCTGACAACAAAAAGGTGAAAGAATTCAAACTATTTCACAAATTACAGTTGTAATAAAAACTTGATTTTTACCAGGAACAAGCTTGAATCTATGTCCCCATGGCTTATGCATTTTGCCTTTAATATTTAGGTTATTGTAGTTGAATTTCATAGGTCATTTCTTCCCGTAACTTGTTCCAACTGCTACAGACAAGACCTAAATTAAGTCACTTGTAGTTTTTATGCTCCAGTGATAAATACAATTGCTTAAGCTTCTCCATTTAGATGATTTTTTCTTAAAACAAGTTATCAATCTACTACTCACTCTACCCTTTCTGATTTATTAACATTTGTCCCAAAATAAGAGAATCCAAACCTGATGAAGTTTAATCACATTCTTTTATGAATGACATTAATCTTCTCAATTTCTAAAGATGGGTCTCAGGATTGATTAGTTTTGATTATGGTAGACTTCATAAGCAACTTAGTTTTGATTAGCAAAGTTAAATTTTCAGTTCTTTTTTGCTGCCAGTGCTTTTCTCCTAACTTAACTTAGCTATTTAGAATTGTCAAGCTATCATTTGTATTCTTTTCAGATAGACTAAGCTACTCTACAGGTAGTCTCCCCCCCCCCCCTCCATGACTCATGTAATTGTGGAAAGTCTTACCTTTCTAAAATTCAAAAAGTACAGTTTGTGGATTTGTGCCTAATCTCTATAGTGCCAACAAATAGAAACATAATCACCATGACCTAAATACACCTTACTAACAAGGTTTCTAACCATACCTTCTTTATTATTTGGAACAACATTTGAAATAGTATCTTTCTGATTAGGTTATTTAACCTATTAAGAAAGCAACTGCCAGAAATTCTGTAGCCACTTGTGAAGAAGATAACTTTTCACAATGATATCATGAAATTTAGTCTTTCATTTGTGTAACTTTTTATCTAAAAGCAGCAAAACCTTACTTCTTGAACATATTATTAATAACATGGGGTGTAACATATAGAAAACAAGGGACCATTTGATCCTTCAAGGCTGTACTTGTACATATCCACTCTTGAGAAAAGTAAAAGTTTAAAACCCATCCTTTATTTCCCAGATAATCATCTATTCCCCTCTTCATCAACTCATGTAAAGTGCTAACCTACACTACTGCTGATGACAAATTATTCCATAAGGCAATCACAAAATCTCATTGTTTTTTTGAAATCTTACACTTGTGTCCTCTCATCCCATCATCTTCAGAATACATTATAAAGATTAAGAAATCAGAGGCCTTTATGTTATTGATCCCCAGGACAATCTTATAAACTTCAATAAGATCATCTCTTACCCTTCTTTCTCAAAGCAAAATAAGTTGAGAGATCTTAAGCTGTCCCTATAAGGTAATCCTTCTATCTCCAGAACCATCGAAACAGACTTTCTCTGAATCCTTCCCAGTAAGTCAGTAGCCTTTTTTAGATAAGGCAGCCAAAACTTACACAGTAATTCAAGTCAAACCTAACTGGTGATTTATATAAAGAGATAATAACTTCTTTTGTCTTATAGTTAATGTCTATTTGAATACACCCTAAAATTATGTTAGCTTTACTACTAGAACAAACTGCTTTGATGACTTTAGTAATTTATCCACAATTATGCCAAGACTGTCTTCTTCCATCATTATTGAGTGGCTTCTCATCTGTATTTGCCTAATCTATAGTCCAAATTATGATATCCGAAATGCATTACTTTGCACATACTATAATTAAAGGTCATTTGCCAAATGTTTGTCCAACTTAACAATTGATTTAGGTTATTCTTTGACACCTCACTATAGCTAGAAATAACCAAGAGTTTAATGTCATCCACATATTTTACTAATTTTGTAATTTGTCAGCAAA